ACACACACACACACACACACACACACACAGACATACACGTGTGTGCACACCTGCAGACACTTCAGGTTAGTACAGTGTCAGATGTATTGCAAAATAGTGTTGCACACTCACATAAACACTCCAGCAGGCCATGTACATGTACACTTTTCTGCACAGGAATGCCCACATCACCCACATTCACACAGATACAACTTTACATCTGTACATTCACCTGGGACAACCAGCCTCGGTATTTCTCAAAGGCCTCACGAGGTTGCAAGGAATGTTACACCAAGAACCACAAAGGCACACGCCTCTACAGACATCAACATGTTATTGCATAAGCCCTTCTCATAAAATCCTAGAATGTCAGAGATTGGAGACAACTTAAGAGACCATCTTGTCCAAGCCCTTCTTTGTACTGAGGGGGAAATAGGCCCAGAGAGGTGAAGGGACTGGTCCAAAGTCATATGGACAGCCAAGGCAGATCTGCAGCCAAAACCCAGGTGTCCCGACTTCTACCCTGAGGCATCCCCCTGCCCCACTCCTCGCCCCCCCACCTCATCAGAGATGGAGGGTCAAGGAGACAGGGGGAGAGACTGGGTCCCCTATATAAAATACACTGGGAGAGTGGACATTAGGAAGGATTAGGTGTCATATATAAAGATATTTACATAATATATACTAACACATTTGAATACACATATAATTACAACCAGATCCTGATGAATACCAATAAGAAATCTCCAAAGTGGTTGCAGGTATTTGAATTTGCACTATTTGAAGCAATAATTTTGCATAAATTATTATATACACAATATATTATTGCATCATATACATGATATGGAATTTATGATATATACATTATATACCATATGCATGATGTATACTTATATATTATATAGTATTTCTATTCTATACATTATAACACACAATAATGTATGTTAGTACAATATATATTGTTATAATTATGTCTAGTAATTGACTTCAATTAGCAGTGCCAATTCAAATAATTCAACTACTTCAGGCGACATATCATTCTCACTAATCAGGACATGGGAGTAAACCGATGTGGGAGCCCGCACACATGGACACACATATATGTGCCTTGCCACACATATGCAGGTATGTCCACAGAGATATGGCCAATATATACCTCTCACACATAGCCCCACACACATGAACACATAGACATATAATAATATATAATAGCTAGCATTGACGAAGCACCTGAAGGCTCACAGAGGCTGTGTTGCCCAAGGGATTGAGAGCTGGCCTTACAGCCAGGAAGGCTTGGCTTCCACCGGCTCTAACGCATAGTAGTTATATGACCTTGGACAAGTCACCCAACCTCCAGAGACTCTAGGCAACTCTCTGAGACTATAGTTGCAGAGAAGGTGCTGACTTGTATTAATAGAGGCTAAGTTTAGTCATCTGGGAGTCCACTATATTAATGAAATAATAGGCCTGACCTCCGTCCTTTAAGGTTTACAAAGCGCTTTCCATAGGTATGTACGTGGGTAGGCACATGCAAACACGTAACGCCTAGTGGGAAGGGCTGAGACCAACGTTAGTACGCATCCCCCTGGGGACACAGACAGCCAACATACCACCATCTGGCCCACGCCACGGGGGCTCCTCTTTGGGAATGGTCTCTGGGGGTGTGTAAGGTGATGGATTTCACTGTTTCACCGCTGTGAGTGAAGTCGGGAGGGGGACCTGATTCTTCCCTTTCCCTCCATCTTAACCCTCGCTTCCTTACATCACCGGGCTAGACCCCCAACAACTTCTGTCCGATTCCTCACCCCCTCTCACACCCCAAGGATGAAGGCTCGAGAGAGTCACAGCTAACAGGTCGCCTCCAAGGTCATTCCCAGAAGTGACGCTGCAAAGTCTGAGCCACAGCCCCCGCCTGGCTCTGTCGTCTTCTTATCCAAGGATGTGCGTGCTAAGGTCAGTAACCGGGAGTCCCCGGCGGGTCGTCACCCCTCGTCCATACATACACGGGTCCTCACGCCACAACAATGTGTGACCATTCAGTTCTGTGTTGACGCTGACCTTTTCACAGCTCCGCCTTACTCGTATCTAATTCACATCCAAGTCAAGACATCACCCTCGTGATGTCAATGGTCTTCAAGAATGAAGGGTGAACAACAACTGCAAAAATGAGAGATCAGCTTTCCAAAGAAGGGAGGGCAAACCTAAGGCTCACTGACCACCCCATCAAGTTTGGCCAACTTACTAGACTTGGAGCATCTCGAGAATATGGAAAGGGTGTGTTCACACCTCGAATGGGCATTTGAATGTACATGGAACCTTAGGTGGCCCTTCCCGTCTTACCTATCGTCTATGCACACACTAGCACGCATATAATAATAATAATAATATATTGCATTTGTACAGTTCTTTATACTTTCCAAAGCACTTTCACATCTGTTAGTTCACTTGATCCTCACAACAGCCCTGTGAGGTAGGCAGGGCAGGAATTATTTCCATTTTATACAAAAGGAAATTGAGGCCCAGAAAGGGAAAGGGATTAACCCTGGATCACACGGTGAATTTGTGGCAGAATTTGAACCCTGGCCAACCAAGGCTCTCTCCCCAGTAGCCTGCTGCCTTCTCATGTACATACATCCACACACAGACACACAAACATAAACACAGAGACACACGTGTGATCCCCACAATTCTTTGTGGTCCCTGGCCCAGAAAGGCAGTGCTCCCTCCTTGGCTAATGACCTGGTTGTTGTATTAACTTCATACATTTCCTCTACCCCCCCTCCCATTCCTGCCCCATAATTGCTCCATATCTCCTGCTCTCTCCTCTCTCTTTCTGGGGGACCGCTAGCTTTAGGGGGAAAGTTCTCAACTTGCCATATGCTTTACTTAAAGCATAAGAGATGGTGGTTTTTGCTCTTTCCCAAGGCCGGGGGGATGCACTTCTCCCCCACGCTCTCAAACTCCCCCTCCCCCAATGACTTGGGACTGATTGTCTGGTCTGGGATACTGGGGTCGTTGGTCAGTGAACCTTCTCAAGCCCCAGGCACTGCCAGCTCTGTCTGCTGGACCCAGACCTAACAAGCAGGAAATGAGGCACAAAGGAAGGGGACAGACATGACCCCAGACCACCAGCAGGCCCCCGGTCCCATCTCTGGCCCCTCTTGGGGTTACATTCATTGGTTACGGTCTGTTAATAAATATATCAGTGGTTGTATCCCCGGCTCTGGGCCCCCAGGGCAGGGAGATTGAAAGGGGACCCCCTGCCCCACCAAAGGCCAGTCTATGTCTCCTGGGAGCTCTTCTCCACATTAAGGGGTTGAAAGGCACACCAGTTAGGCAGGAAGCAGGACACCCAGTTTGGTCCCTTGGCCCCTCAATCCCCACTGATTTCTGGGGAAAAGGTGGCGGGGTCACCATCGGGCCGCACTTCGTGGTCCCCGATCAGCCCGAGGAGGGTCTGGGGGATGGGTCCGGCGGTTCCTTCCTTTCCGCTTCTCCTCCAGATGTTTCCACTTGTGTCCCTTTGGCCGAGGCCCCAGGGCTGAGGGCAAATGGGGCTCCTTAGCGCTACTCCAAGATGGGGGGCACATAGGGCCGCCCCCACCCCTTCCAGGCGGGTCTACCAACTGCAGGAAGTCTCGGTACCAGAGCTTGTGGCTAGCAGGGGACCCTGCCCCCATTCCCTGGGCCTCCTCAGCCCTGGTCAGCTGCTCGGCTTGGTGGGCGCCCACCACGCGCAGGCTGAGCCGCCGGAGGGGCTGGGTGAAGCCGTGCTCTGTAGCGTGGCAGTGGTAGAAGCCAGTGTCCTGGGGGCCCACGCTGAGGAGGAGCAGGCCCCGGTCTGTCTGGATCACTCGGTCATCCAAGTGCACCTGGGGATCACAGAAGGTCACGCCTTAGAATGTAGAAAGTTAGAACAAGAAGGGCCTTTCAAGCATACAAGATGGAACGTGTAGGGGCCTTAACAGTAACCAGGATCAGCAATGTAATGATGACATTTACATAGCCCTTTAAGATAGGCAAAGGGTTCTGCATACAGGATCTCCTTTGATCCTCATAACAACTCTTTGAGGCATGTGTCATAGGTATTATTATCTCCATTTTACAGATGAGGAAATGGAGGCTCAGAGAGGTTAAGAGATTTCCTCAGGGTCACAATTCTAAATGGAATGGTTCTTGAAGCCTTTTAAAAGGTCCTTACAACATAGATTATCAGAACTGGAAGGGTCCTTCATCGATCAATGCATATCTCTCTCTCTTTTTTTTTTTGATGAGGCAATCAAGGTTAAGTGACTTGCCCAGGATCACACAGCTAGTAAATGCCAAGTGTCTGAGGCCAAATTTGAACTCAGGTCCTCCTGACTCCAAGGCCAGAGCTCTATCCACTGTGCCACCTAACTGCTCCAATGAATATCTCTTAAGCTCCTACCGCAAGGGCCACATGCTAGGTACTGGAGACAGAAATGCAAAGAATGAAGCAATCCCTTCTCTCTATTTGGGGGAGACAAGTATATTTGTGAATGTATCCAGAATAAATACGGAACAAATCCAAGAAAGGAAGGGCAGGCACTAATGTTTAGGGGGAGTCAGGAAGGGCTTTATCTTAGGGACCATGTTAAGCACTTTATAATTATTGTCTTATTTGATCCTCACAACAACCCTGGGAGGTAAGTGCTATTATTATTCCCATTTTACAAAACTGAGGTTAAGTGACTTGCCCAGGGTCACACAGCTACTAAGTGTCTGCGGCTAGATTTGAACTCAGGTCTACCTGAATCCAGTCCTGGTGGTCTATCCCTTGCGCCACCTAGCTGCCTAGGAGGAAGAGAGATTAAGGTCCTTGAAAGGAGGGATTGTTTTATTCTTCACAATTATATCCCCAGCACTCAAGCAATGCTTGAAGCAGAGGTGAGGGAAGGGTGCATTCCAGACATGAGACATGGGGGATGGCCAGCACAAAGACAGGGAGACGAGAGAAGGCCAGTAGACTCTCGAGGCAGGGGATCAGTTAAGACATACAGGCAAGTGGTGAGGAGGGACCCAACCTGGGTGGTGGCTATGTGAGTAGAGAGAAGGAGGGTTGGTTGGGAGAGATGTTGTGCAGCTAGAAACAACAGAGTTTTGTCAAATGATCAGATATGTGAGGTGATAGAGAGGAAGAAGAGATAATGCCAAGGTTCTGAACCTTGGAGACCAGAAAAAGATGGCGCCTTCAACAGAAACAGGCAAGTCTGGAGGAAGGGTGGGTTTCAGGGGGAAGACTGTAATGACTTCTGTTTTGGACACACTGATTTTGAGCTATCTCTGGGATATCCAGCTTGAGATGTCCAAGAGGCAACAGGTGATGAAAGACTGAGGCTCGGGGGGAATGACTGGGGCTGGATGTCTAGATCTGAGTCATCTGTTTAGAGATGATAATTAAACCCGTGGAAGCTGATGAGAACTGAATGAGACGGAGACAGAGCAAGATGGTGAGACAGAGATAGAGACAGAAATAGAAAGAGAAGCCAGGACAAAGTCTCGGGGTACACCTACAGGTAGGGGTGGGATACGGATAGGACATAGAACATTAAGCTGGAAGAGAACGACAACTTACATTTCCAGCACTGGAGACGACAGACTGCTAATGTCAAGTGGGACCTCAGGGATCACCTGGCCCAACCCCCCCAATTTTAAAGGGAGGGAAACTGAGGCCCCCAAAGGGGAAGTGTATTGTCCAAGCTCATGCATGTCAGGACAGGGGTTGGGGTGTCACGTAGGACAGTGATGCCAGGCCCAATGTGGGGGATGCTTACCTGGGCTCGGGGGCTATCACTTGCCCTCTGGTAGGTCCACAGCACCTGGGCCTGCAGGGACTTGGGCTGACATTCAAGGAAGATGCTGCTGCCTTCCACCCCGAAGAGCTTCTTCTCCAGCAGTGTTTGGCGTGGAGGGTCTAGGGGAGAGTGCACAGGGGCTCAGCTGTGGAATTTGTTGGGGTTCTGGATCGAGGTGGCAGTGGAAGGGGTTGACTATGGGGATGGGTGTCCGGTTTAAGGCCTAGCCTGTCAATAGCCCCCTCACGCATGGTGAAGGCCTTAGGGAGTTTCTCTTTAGGGTCTGAGGGACTGTGGGAGGAGGAAACTGACCTAAGGGTCACTCACCCCCAGAACATAGTATGTTGGGGTCCCCATTCCGAACATCCTGGCGACGATACCTCCTAAGGTGAAAGCAGAGATGTGGTAAGTCCCTGGGATGCTGAGATACCTCTTGGCGCCAAGCCCCCTCTGCCATAGCCACAGAACTGGAGGGATGTCCCATGGGCATGGTAGGTGGGAACCACACCCCTGGCCCCTTGGTTTCTATCTCCCTCTTGCCTTGGCTCCCTAGCCTCCTTGGTACCCTGGCTCACAAGTCTCTGGTTCTCTGACCACCAGCCCCTTAGCCCGCCAGCCCACATCTCCCCCCATCCCTCGGCCTCTCCCCCGCTCCCAGCTCTTGTCTCTTGACCCCACACCTCTTGGTATTGGGCAGGTAGCGGGTACAGGCAGCCCCGTCCCAGACACAGTAGGGATCTCGGGCCAGGCAGCACTCGGCGCAGGCACGGCCGTAGGCGGCACATCGGTGCAGGGGCAGCTGGGAGAGAGAACTCTGGGAGGCCACATAAAGCTGGTGCTGGGATTCAGAGAAGGGAGAGAGAGACAAAGCATCATTATCAGTGCCAGGGCAAGCCCAGCCCAACTGTATGGGAAACTGGGACCAGAGAGAGGAAGAGGCTGACCCCAGCTCACGTGGCAAGTTAGTGGCAGGATGGAGCTGGCTCTGGAGTCAGCAGACCCGGGTTCTACCACTTCATTTTTGGGAAGGCTTAGTTTTCCCATCTATGAATTGGGGATGACATTGGCCTTACATACTTTGCAAGGCTCTTGTAAGTTTTAAGTGAAATAACATAAATGGAGCATGTTGGGTGGCGCCATAGTGCATAGAGCACCAGACCTGGAGTCAGGAAGACCCAAGTTCAAAGTCAGCCTCAGTCATTTTCTAGCTTTGTGACCCTGAGTAAGTCACTTCACCCTGTTTGCCTCAGTTTTCTCATCTGTAAAATGAGCTGGAGAAGGAAATGGCAAACCACTCCAGTATCTCTGCCGAGAAACACTGGGGTCTGCCAAGACCCCAAATGGGGTCACAAAGAGTCGTATACGACTGAACAACAAACTTTAAAGTGTACTATTACTACTACTATTCCTCCTTTTTTTTTTCCTTTTGGTGAGACAATTGGGATTAAGTGACTTGCTCAGGGTCACACAACTAGTAAGTATCAGATGTCTGAGGCCAAATTTGAACTCAAGTCCTCCTGACTCCAAGGCTCTATCCACTGCACCACCTAGCTGCCCCTCCTATTCCTATTCTTACTACTCCTCCTACTCCTATTCCTACTCCTACTACTTCTCTCCTACTACTGATAACCTCTCTCAGGTAACCTAGCTTCCCGTCCAGGAATATTGGCAGGAATACATACAGGGGAAAGCATGGACCCTCTGGAGGGCAGCTGGTGGCATCTAGTAGCAATGAGGCTGGCACTGAGGGGCCAGGAAGCTCCGGAGCCCCCAGAACAAGCCGTGCTAGGCCCCTCCTCCCCATCCCAGACGCTCACCCTTTTGGAGGAGATCTGCATGTTGGTGATGGCAGCAGCATTCTGGAAGGGAAAGACACAGGGGTCAGGGCTGAGTGGGGGCCTAGCCAAGCAGGGCTCCATGGGGGGGGGGCCCACTGCCTTCTCACCTCAAACACCTGTAGCTCCTCAAGCAGAAGTCCCTCTGTGCTCTGCCAGCTGTCCTTGGGTACCGAGATCACCTTGAGGACTGTGCCAACGTCTGCATGAGAGAGCGGCAATCTTGGGCTGGGCACCCCTGGTGGAGGGGGGAAGGAGCCACACACCCGTATCCCGCCATCTTTGTCCAGTGAACTCTACCAGGGCAGGCTGGTGCTTTCCCTTAGACAAACTGTCCTTGGGAGTTGCCTAAGGCACTGTGAGAGGTTTCAGGATCTACCCAGGGTCACACAGAGGCCAACCTCGTACCCAGGCTTTGGAGGCTGGCTCTGTAGCCACTATGCCAGGCTGCCTCTCACATACTGCTTAGTAAATTATTGCTGAATAGAATTGATTGGATTGAATTGAACTGAATGGGGGGGAGGGGGAGGGGCCTCCCTGGGATGCAGCTGAGTGTCAGCTGTGTTATATGGGAGACAGAGAGAAACCTCTGAAGTCAGAGCCTGGAAGAGGATGAGACCATCAGATCCAATCTCCCCTTACTCTGCCCCAGATTTACAGAGCGAGAAACTGAGGCTCAGTAAAAGAAAGTCTTCCCCAACGTCAAGATGAATTCATTCCTTTGGCACCAAAATTTGTATTACATAATTCCTTTTAGCTCTGTGTGTGTGAGTGTGTGTGTGTGTGTGTGTGTGTGTATGCATGCGTGGGTGCGAGCACACAGGTCTGAGGGGGGAGGGAGGAAAGCAGTAAGGAAGGAGGGAAGGAGAGAAAGAGAGAGGAAGAGAGAGGAGAGGGGGAGAGAGAGAGACGGGGGGGGGGTGAAGACAGAGAGACAGAGAGAGAGAGACAGAGAGAGAGAAGGTACAAGGGAAGGTACCAGGTTAGCATCTCCTCTAAGTGTTGGCACTGTGAGTTTCTTCTTGTTCTTCCTCTTCTTCTTCCTTTTTTTTTTTTTTTTTTGCTGTGAGGCGGTTGGGGTTAAGTGACTTGCCCAGGGTCATACAGCTAGTGTCAAGTGTCTGGTTTGAGACCAGATTTGAACTCAGGTCCTCCTGACTCCAAAGCCAGAGTTCTATCCACTGTGCCACCTAGCTGCGCCTGTGAGTTTCTTCTTTCTGTGATTCTGTGACTCTTCTGTCACTGTGGGGAAGGGGAGTTAAAGCAAGATTCAGGGGCAGCTAGGTGGCAGTGGGCCTGTCATCATAAAGACTTGAGTTCAAATCCAGCCTTATCCGCTTGCTAGTTGTGTGACCCTGGGCAAGTCACTTAACCTCTGTCTGCTTCAGTCTCCTCAACTGTAAAATGGGGATTAATAATAGCACCTCCCTCCCAGAGGGCTGTTGTGAGGATCCAAGGAGATAATATTTGTAAAGTGTTTAACACAGTGCCTGGAAGATAGGAGGTGCTTACCAAATGTTTATTCCCATGGCACTTCAGGGTGGCCTGGGCTTCATGGGGAGGTGAGACTGGAGCTTGGCTCTGAACGAGGCAGAGCAGCACCTGCCCAGGCAGGGAAGGGCACGAGCCAAGGTGTGGGGGTGGACGTGAGCCTGGCATGACAGGGGTGCATAAGGTCAGACTGGCTGAATGGGGAGGGCATGCGGGTGAGCACATCAGCGAGGCCTTGAATTCTGAGCCTGCTCTGACAGACAAGTCAAGAACAAGCCTTGTCTTAGGAACCAGGAGACCAGGGGTTGGATCCCACGCCTAGCGATCACTCTGTGTGACCCTGAGTCAGTCCTTTCACCTCATTCCTCCCTCAGTTTAGTAAAGGAGTTGGATTCAATTCGCAAGGCTTCCTTTCTGGATCTATAGCATCTATGCTTCTACAAGAAGCATGGTATTGGGAGACTCAGGAGGAGCTCTGACCTGTGCCAATGAACAGGACGTCGTAGTGGCCGTCAGTGGCGGCCACACGGTCAGCGACGATCTGCGTGAAGGTGTAGTCGGTGCTGGTCCGGAGGAAGATGGGGCGCCCGCCCACGGGCAGGATGGGGTTGTACATCAGGGGGTGGTTTCGGGCAAACTGGATCACATCATCTGGGAAATCCTTGGTGGAGCCAAAGGTGCCGAAGGTCTTGCTGGGACACTGGGGAGGTAAAATGGCCTTGTGGGCATGGGGAGGGTCAGTGCAAACAATGACCCCCCAAACTTGGGAGCCCCTGGCCTAGGGGGAAACAAGAATTTGACCTCAGGAAACCCTTGCTCAGAAGGGGAAGTCATAATCAACTCCTGCTTTCAGAGCCCTTGGTCTGAGAGGAAAGACAGCTTTGCCCACCGGGCAAAGGGGAGATATAAGCCCTGTCCGAGGACACATTTAAGGTTTCCAGGAGAAGGTGCATTTTGAGCAGGGCCAGAGGGAGGGTGTACTTTGGGGAAATAGAGGCTGTGCAAAGAGGTGGGTGGGTGATGAACATCTAGTCGATAATGCTTTGTCCTTCCCGCCTCCTTTGTCTGTGCCCCCCAGGACCTACCATGCCTGGGCGGGGGTAGGGCACCCGGCCCTGATAGGACACCCACTGATAGTTGGGTCCCTCCTTGTGGGCAAAGGGACCCAGGAAGGCACGCCGAACGTCATTCATGCTGTATACGCAGACAGCTGAGCCCTGGAACACGCTGCTGTTGGGGGGACAGTGGCAGGCTCCAGGTTAGGTAGGTATACATGCATAAACACACGTGTGTGAGACACTCCCACCTGACCCAAGTTGCCCCCAAACTCAGTCCTGCTTCCTTCCTCTCCCATTTCCCCAAGCAAGGCTCTGACCTGGAGGTGGAGAAAACAGCATAGAGAAGGGGGCTCCTTCGATCCTTTGTAGGTAGCAGGAACACATCACCTGTATAAGACACGGGGTCAGTGAGCTCCTCAAACCCCCTGCCTCTAGGACCAGAGCCAAGGTCCAGGCCTCCCAAGCCCAGCTCCTGGAGCTGGAGCTGGATCTGTCCCCCTGCCCCTGGGCCCATCTCGGACCCCAGCCCCAGGCCCAAGCACTCACGAAGCTCATCGAAGGCCGTGTCACTGGTCCCATCCACCCCAGGCACAGAGCAGACCAGCCGGGCCTTCAGGAATGTCGTCCACTTGTTCACCAGGCTCCGCTGTCCTCCTAGGTCATTCTGCAGCGGCAGAAAGGGAGTTAGGGATCTTCCCCAACCTCCTCGGCCCACGTGACCTAAGGTCTTGCTTATTCATCCTGGAATGGCCTGGCCAAACAGGTATGAGTGGTGCATGTGAGTGTGAATGTGTATGGCCACCTCTCCCCAAGTCTGGCAGGTACCCGTGAGGGTGTCTGTGTATCTGTTTTTGAGTATGAGTGTGGTAGGTGTATATTTATGTGAAGGAATGTGGGGTGTATCTACGCGTGCGTGTGTGTGCGTGTGTGTGCGCGTGTGCGTGTGTCTACTAGTGGTCGTAGTTTAGGTGTTAGAGACAGCCAGGTGGCTCGGTGGACAAAGCCCTGGACCTGGAGTCAGGAAGATCTGAGTTCAAATCTGGCTTCAGACACTAGCTGTGTGGCCCTGGGCAAGTCACTTAACCTCTGTCTGCCTCACTTTCTTCCTCCATAAAATGGACATAATTATAGCACCTACTTTCTGAGATTATCGTGAGGATCCCATGAGGTAACATTTGTAAAATGCTTTGCAAACCTTAAAACACTATCCATCTATCCACTAGCTGTTCTTATTATGATGTGTGTAAGTCTATATGAGTGTGTGTTTCTTTGTGTGAGGGTGGATGGGGTGAGTGTGTCTGTGAGAGGGACAGTGTGTCCATTAGTGAGCGTGCCTCTGGGGTGCGTGTGTGTACGTGCATAGAGACAGGGACTCACTCTGCAGATCTGGCCAATGCGGGACACCGACACCCGGCCCAGGCCAGGGTTCCCCTCCACCGCCACCTCCCGGAAGAAGAAGTAGATTTTGTCATCGTCGGGATTCTCACTCTCCGGGATCCAGAAGACCTTCACAAATTTGGGCTCTGGGCCCCCAGGGAGGGGTCCGGTCAGTATCCTGGAGACCCCTGCCTCTCTTCTTCCCAGGGGACCCCCATCCCAGCCATCTCTCCCCCACTCCTTCCTCCCTTCTTGCAACAGAGGCGGCTGCAAAGCAAGGATTGGACACTAGAGGGCAGCAGAAGCCCAAGGCTCACCGATCTGGGGAGCCCAGGCTATCCTGTTCTCTTTCCAATTTGACTTCACTCACCCCACACAAATCCTCTCCCTCTCCTCCCTTCCTGAACAGGGATGTTGTGTGTGTGCATGCATGCACGTATAGGGAGCACATAGCTACGTGTGTGCCTACATATATGCATGTACATTAACACGTGTGCTCTCATAGATATGGCCCTTTACAGTTTAAGCAGCACTTAATTACAACACCTCTGGGAGCTGGAGTGAGGGAGGTGGGATAGACAATCTCTCAGGCCCCTTCTGACATTCTATGCTGAGTTCTAAAGTCTGTTCCTGCTTGGACATCCTGTGTCTTAATATTCCATGCTCTATGGTCCCTCCCTCTCGGCTCTAACATTCTGCATTCTGAGTTTGAAGGTCCCTCCCAGGGTCTTTGAGGGAGGTATGGTAGGGATCCTTGTTCTCATTATATAGATGAGGGACCTGAAGCTCAGGCAAGGGAAGGGACTTGTCCGTGGAGGAATCAGCAATAAAAAAAGAGCCAAACTGGCACTGGACCTCGGGTTTCCTGACTCCTATCATCATAATAATTATTATAACTGATAATATAATGATAATAACTCATTTCCATAGTACTTTAAGGTTTGCAAGCCTCTATGCTCATAGCCATTCTGTAAGGCAGTTACTACAAGTGTACCCATTTCACAGATGAGGAAACTAAGGCCCAGGAGAAGGGAAGTGATTTGCCTAATATCAGATGGCTAGTTAGTAGCAGGGCCATGATTTGAACTTGGGCTTCATGACTCTTGGTCTTCTAGGGCCCTTTTCACCCACTCTGCTTTTTAGAGCCCTCTCAAGACTCTCACCATTGATTTTTTTTTTCTTTTGGCCTGTTTCTTCTTTCACCACATGACTAATATGGAAATAGGTTTTACATATTTTTACACTGATAACCTATATCAAATTGCTTACCATCTTAGAGAGGGGGAAGGGAAAGAGAAAATTTAGAACTCAAAAATTTTTAAAATGAATGTTAAAAATTGTCTTTACATGTAATTGGAAAAAAATACTATTAAAAAAAAAACCACCTTACCATTGAGCCATCGAGAATCATGTTGCTCTGTTCGGAGGTTGGGGCGCCGGCCAAGGCTTCGGAAGATGGTGAAGTCCCGGCCCATGAGGTCTGTGGCTACTCCAGAGTAAAGTTCGTGCCCTGGGTGTGGGACAGAGGACAGGGGAACATAGTGGAGGGAACTCCATTGTTTGGGGGAGCTTGGAAAGGAACTGGGGCAATCGAGGGGATCTACAGAAGTTTGGGGATGGGTTCACAGGGGATAAGAGAACCCAGGATGTTTTATGGGGCTGTGGGAGCCAGGAAGGGTCTCTGGGAGGCCACAGGGAATGAGGAGGGATGACAGCTGCTAAGAAGCCCAGGGTGTGTGTATGGGATAGTCTTAATGGCCCCTGGGACAATTCAAGGAACCCTAGCCTAGCTTCATTCCTCCTTTCCCCCCTCCCCCCTCCCCTCCCTAGGCAACGTGAATGGCAGGTGGGAGTGCACCATGGGGATGCTGGGGTATTTCAGGAGCTCAAGTCTTACCCACAAGGACGGAGGCTGCCCGGTGCTTGGGATCATAGGGGCTCTTCCCTTTTCCATCCTCTAGGCTGTTCTGCTCCAATTTCAGCATTGGCTCCTGAGAGCAGGCAAGGGGAGACTGTTTAAAAGTCTCCTGCCCTCCCCCCACTTTGGGAACTTGTCCAAGCGAGGGGTGAAGGAAAGCAGCTGCACCCTCAGGCCAGGGTGTGCTCCGGCTTGTCCCACTACCCCAACCCTTTCCTAAGCCTGCTCCTCACCTCCATCCGGTACCCAACCTCCAGGAAGCCACAGACGGGGTGGAAAGCCCCTGTCCCACAGATGTACAAGTGAGTTCGGTTATAAGGGTGAAGCAGTTTCACAAAATTCACGCACTCAGCCTGGACAGGGGGAAGACAGAGACAGGACATTGGGCCCAACGTCTTCCTCTCCTCCAGCCTCCAGTCCCAAGGCGGATGAGTCTGAGCTTGGCCTCTCCCTCCCCCCCAACTCAGCTCATCAGTCACACTTCTAGACGGCCTTAATGCTTAGGATGAGCCCATCCCCTTAGGATACCCTTCCCCTCTGAGACAGACAGGGAAAGGGCTACTCTTCCAATTTCATTGATGAGTAAACTGAGGCCCAGAAAGAGAAGCAGTTTGCCCCATCACATAAAAAGATCAGATGACTTGAAACTGAGTCTGCTGAGGGCAGGGTTCGGGCTCGCCCACACCCTTCTCCCAGCTCCTTTGCTTTCTACTACCCCATTAAACAGGCCGGACTCCTCCAAGGCATGAGGGGGGCCGAGTCACAGCCTTCTCCCAAGGTAGACATACCAGGTCATCTCCCCCACCTCCGCCAGCTCAGTCTCCCTCTTTGGGCAACCCAGAAGATACTGAGACCCTTCTCCTCCTCGCCCCTCCTCATCCCCCCAGAGGGCCCAGGCCAACTGGTCACTCACACTGATGTCCTTGCCAGCCCAATTGCATTCTTCTCGCCACTCCACAGGCGCCGGCCAGGCCAGCTGAGCAGGGATGGGGGAGGGAGGGAACAGAAACAGAGGGAGACATCAGGCGGGCTGGAGAAGGGTGCCCTCTGTCTCTGAGCTAGACCTTGGGGAGGGGAGGCTGGGGCGGGGTAGAACCTGGGGGAGAGAGTGTCCCTCTTTGGCATAGAAAGGAGCTCTGGGTAGTGGTGGTATCTCTGAAGGGAGGGAACATGTCTCCCAGAATATGAGATGATCTTTTTTCTAGGAGGGAGAATCTGTTTTTCAGTGGTGGGTTAATATCTCTGCAGAGAATGTTTCTTCTGGGGGAATGTCGATTGGGAGGGGAGGGAGTGTTTCTCTGGGGGGGCGGTATGTCAGAGGGGCTGTGTCTGGGTAAGTTATCTTTGGAGGGGGATATATCTGAAGAAATTGTATCTAACTTAGCTGGGGGGGGGTGTAATCAGAAATCAGTCACTGAGAGCAGAGAATATGTGTCCTGGGGGACACATCTTTGAGGGAAATGTCTCCTGAGTGTTTTGTGTGTGTCGGTGGAGGAGAGGGTTTCTTTGGGAGGAAGGAGGAAATGTCTCTCCTGGAGTATGTTTCTGAGGGAGAGGGTTGATTTCTGAAAAAATACAACTTTAAGGAACCCTTTTCTCTGAGAAGCTCTCTACTGGTGGGTGGGGTGGGACAGGGTCCTGCATCTCTTGGGGAGGATGTTTCTAAGAAGAAAGGAAAAGAGGGCTAGAACAGATGCTCTCCGAGGTCCTTTCCATCCCTAACTCGGTGATCCTATGCTCTCTTCTAGGGGATATGTCTGGGGAAAATGCCTCTGCTATGGGGCTGTATCTCATGGTGAGAGATGCCAACAGGAGGAAGGATAGAATATTTCTCTCAGGATATCTCTGGGAAGAATGTCTCTCTAGGGGAGGGTCCTTTGGGGGATCCTTGTCTCTAGGAGCAGAGAATGAGTCTGCATCTGCAGAGGTGGACGCTTCTCTGGAACACGACCATGTCTCTGGGTACCTTCTTGTCCTGTTTGCTGATGTTATCCAGGCTGAGGGAAGCCACGTAATTCTGAGCACCCACAAATAGCCTGCCACGCTCCTCATCCAGCAGAAGAGCCTCATAGCAGCAGGTACGAGGTAGGGAGAAGGTGCGAAGGCCATGCCGGGCCCTGAGCTCTGCCAGGAAACATCAGAGAGAATGGGAGGATGAAGAGAGAAGGCGACGCACAGAGCAAGGATGGGGCCTATGGTGTCTGGTGGTGCCACAGGCCAGATTTCATTTTTCCTGAGAGCTCTGGAGCCTGGAAACTTGGACACCTGGGTTTTAGGTCTAGCCTGGATGGGGGGAGCACCTTGTTTTTTGGATGGCTTCAGTTCCCATTCACTTAAGCCTCAGTTTCTACCCAAGGCCTTTCAATATTGAGGATCACAGATCCCCTGGGGGGCATGAGGCAGGACCCAAGCTCTCTCCCTGCCAATCTGCCAATCTGCCAGGCCTTTGGTGGGCAACAGGTGCCTCAGACGTAGTCTGGGGGGGGTGGCAGTTAGGGGCTGGCCTGAGGAACACTGAATCCATCCTTCCTCCAAGGAGATGGCCAGGAGTGTATTTCCCACACCTTCCCACTTCCCAAGGGTGTATGTGTGTGGTGGTGTTGGGGGCCTCAGATCCCTGCCCAGCTATCCCCAGCACAGCTCCCAGGCTGGGGCTGAGGCCTCCAGGGAAACTAGCCGCCAGACACTGCTGCCTAGCAACCTGCGGCCCGACCCCTGCCTCAGGACTGGATACCTCATGAGTTCTCAGGGCCCTAGGAAATCTTGGGAAGAATAGGGGAACACCCATTCAGTCATCTGAAAGAGACATGGACTTACTGCTCCCATCTCTGTCCCTGAAATAGCCGGGGTGGGGGTTCAGAGTCAGGGCAGAGGCTAGCAAGAGTTAATGTGAGACCCCACAGCCAGAGGGCCCCAGGGAGGTTCTCTCTTAGCATAGGAGGAGGATCTCGGTTCTACCCAGAGACACCCCCAATCTGGGCAAGGACCCTGCACCTCCCTCCCCCAGAAGCGGCTCTCTCCCACTCTAGGCACTGGGAAGCCTCCCACTCAGGGCAGATCAGGGACCTTCTATCCCTCTTTCCTTTCTCACAGATCCATTCACCCTGCTACATCTCCAGGTACACACACTCAGATATACAGATATGTGAACACCAAGGCACCAGCCCTGGCACACACAGTCTGTGAAACACATATGTGCACACACACATGCACACACAGAGCTACATGCAGTTATACCCACGCACATGTACTCCCCTTTACATACTGATATACAGTTACACATTCCCAGAATGATACAAAGTTGCATTTGCACACTCAAAGAGAAAGTTACACAGTTGTATTCACATTTTGTAACGCACTCATACAGACACGCACTCACAGCCACACACGCAAGCAGTTACACATTCCCACAGAAACACACATCCTGACCCAGCCTTGCAATTCTCCCACCAGGTGCTCCTTACCTTGGAAGGAGAGTCGAAGGCGAGGGGGACTGTTGGCTGGACCCCCCTCGGCCCCCAGCACCAGGGCCCAGAACAGGGCCAGGGCCGGGAGCATGGTGAGAGAGACTAGGCAGGTCTTGGCCCCGTGGGGTCCTGGGGAGGTAGAGATGGCAACAAACACGGTGGGGGAGGAGATGTCAGGGTTGAGCCTTGGACTCTGACCTCTGGATCTAGAAAAGAAGGAGAGAGTCAGGGAGGGAGGGAATAAAGGAAGGGAAGGAAAAAGGGAGGAACCAAAGGACACAGAAGACAGGGTGAGAGGGAGAAGGAGAATAATGGGAGAAGAGAGGGACAGAGACTGTGTGAGTCCCAGGGGATCAGATTACAGCCGGTTTGGGCGCTGGGGCAAATACAGCCACATTCCAGTTAGCTTAGCCCCTTCCTCTGAAGGACACACACACACATACACACACACACACACACACACACACACACTCTCATTCACTCACACTCACTCTGACACAGACAGACAGAAATGGGCACACATGTACCCACCAACATATTCCCATATACATGTACAGGTAAGTAGATGTTTGCGCACTCACAGAGATGCATGTGTGTGCACCCATCCATCCACTCAGGCTAGCTGGGAGGGCTCCTGGGACTGACCCCCAGACACTTTTTACCATCCTTTTTAGGGCTCATTCTAGTTTGGGGGGGTTACATCATACCCATTCAGCTACCTGGCCCCTTCATCCCTTCTGCCAAAATGGTACTTAACAGCAAGGAGAGGACAGAATGATGTGTCTTTCCATGTATGTTCATGTGTGTATTTGTCTTTCCATGTATGTTCATGTGTGTGGGTGGGAGTGGGAGTGAGGGGGTGGCAGGTCCTGGACTCCCTTGATTGTCATATGAAGACTAGGAAAGGAAGTGGGGGCATCCACCTGGACAAAGGAAGACTCAGGGCGGAAGGACATAGTAGCTGTCTCCAAATATTTGAAGAAGGATTAGATTTGCTCTGGTTAGCCCTCAGGGGCGAGAGCGATGTGAGGCAGAAGCTGCTCAGGCAAATTTAGGCATGATGTCAGGAAGCATCCCCCAGCTCTTCGAACGGAACAAAGGGGAGACGGGTCTCTGAAGGGAAGCGGGCTCCCCATCTCCAGAGGTTTTCCAGCAGAGGCCAGATGGCCCCATGTTGGGGCAGTTATAGTGGGGGCAGGGTTGGGTCAAATGGTCACTGAGGTGCCTCCCAAGTCAAAAATTCTGTGATTCTGTGTGCCTTTAAGGGTTATGTCTATAGATGCATAGAAGGGTGTGTGTGTGTGTGTGTGTGTGTGTGTGTGTACACATGTATGCTAGGGTACAGCTCTGGAGGGGCATATGTGTCTGAAGAGCCAGAGATAGGGTGAGAAGAGCCCCCATCTCACAGTCACCCTGGGCCCAAATGTCCCCATCAAAGTTGGGAACCTAAGATATAGGAGACCTTTACCAAACCCATTTTCCAGGAAAAAAAAATGCAAGGCCTGCCAGGAACTGGAATAGAATGTCAGTGTCCAGGCTTTCAGGCCGGGCAGCGGTACTAGTC